GCCCCCCCAAAAAATCCCTAACCTTGTTCTCAGAAAATGGCCCAACTGTTTTGGCTGAAATAAAGATTATTATTCAGTGATAAAGATCAGCTCGTGTAATGCCACTAGCATGCAGACCTCTGATTGTTAACCTTCAGTACACTGTATATATGTAGAGATTATATATACAAATAGTAATTTTCCCCCTCTGTTAGCTTTGTTCAATTGAAGTGACCTGTGAATCGGCTAGTGTGATGGCAGCAACTCTGGCTAATGGTGGCTTTTGCCCAATTACTGGTGAAAGAGTACTGAGCCCTGAAGCAGTCCGGAATACTTTGAGTTTAATGCATTCCTGTGGCATGTATGACTTCTCAGGACAGTTTGCCTTCCACGTGAGTAACTGTTGGATTCTAATTGTTTCTTGCAAGGGATACTAATCCTAGACTGTTGTTTAAAACAAACATTTTAGGATTGATCTTTTTGTACTTAAGCTGGTATGTGAATTAATCAGATGTTAAACACAATAGAACTTGAAAATCTGTTACGTAGGGTGGAGGGTACTAAAGCCTGAGGCTGTCGGAGCCCTGCTCCCCCATGGAGAGAGCAAAATCCAAGCCCCACTGCCCTGGGCCGGTGTGGAAGGCTAAGCTGTAGCCCAGAGGCATCTGGCCCTTGCTGGTGGGCTTTGAGCTTTGACCCCAGGCCCTCTCAAGATTAATGCTAGTCCTGGTGATCCCATTCAAATAGGGTTCTGGCCCACAGTTTTAAAAACTGCTGACCTAGTGCATCATGAAATTAATCGTTTCAAGGTATTTCAGACAAGTACTGTTGTGTAACCCTAAAGTCAGACTTCATTTTTGGCCTGAAAATGTAAGTTGGACTTCAAAAATATCTCATTCTTTCAGAATGTAATCTCATGGTTTATTTAATTTAGTAATAATTCAAGCAAATGTTAACTGGTGAAATCCTGAATTAGGTGCTAAAAAATTGCACTTACTATCTGTGTGTACATTTCACTTCTCTGCTGAGATTATCAGGCCTTGTGTTATAGTTCTTGCTGAACCACTAACATGCTGTCTGACCTTAAGCAAGCAGGGTAATTGCTGATCTGTCTCTCCACTTTCCTTATCTGTCAGGTGAGGATACTAAAGCTTACCATCTTATAAAATTTTCTGAGAATGATCAACTAAAAACATTAGATTTATGTGCAATACATAATACATTTATGTGCAAAGTGTTATGAATCGTGTAAGACTAGAATGTTAATGTAGTGTACTAAGTTTTTACCTTCCTGTAGGTTGGTCTTCCTGCAAAATCTGGAGTTGCTGGTGGCATTCTTTTGGTTGTTCCGAATGTTATGGGTTTGATGTGCTGGTCACCTCCTTTGGACAAAATGGGCAACAGCGTTAAAGGGATTCACTTATGTCATGTAAGGAAGGCTTCTTCTTTCAGTATTTTTTCTTTTGCAGTCAACATTTACCTATCTAGCATGGCTAAGGACAAACTGAACTTTGAGGAAATCCTTAAATTTGTTGATGTATGTACTCCCAGTCTGACCTGATCTGAGATCGAAGAGCAGTCTCGTTTTCTAACTTTTGTGGTTGTCATTCAGATAAGATTCATTATTGAACTGTGCAGACATTTAGAAAGTGATAAAACCAACCTTAAAAAAGTGTTTGTGAAAAAAAGTTAAAGGAAAAATGTCTTGTGATATTATATATTGATAAATTGGAACACAAGATCTTTTCCACCTTAAGGAGACTCGTCAGAGTCCAAATATTCTTAATAGTGGCATCAAAGAGGGAATTCAGTCTTTTAGCAGTCAAGTATGTGGAAAAAAGGGTGGCTAAGGATGGCTAGTTCGACAGTTGTCTTTTGTATTAAAATACATTTAGTATATGTTATTGACAGACACTGCTATCCCTCTGAGACTATTCACAGAAAGACATTTTCCTAACAAATTAATTGAATTGGAACTGTTGACAGGGACCTTTGGCAGCTAGAAATAAGATGGGGATGGCTGTTTGTTATATTTTGATAAAAATATCATACTTCTGTGTGTGGGAAGATTGGTTGAAAGTCTCTAGAGGGACAACAGTCAGACAAGCATTCATAACTTTCTCTTTTGTTGCAGATGTGACCTTTTAAATAATTGAAGGGTCCTGTTAGGTGCCAATGTTAAGAATATTTGGACTTTGGCCAGAGATCTTGTACCATACTTAGTTTGCACAGTAATAACACTGCTCTACAGCCAAAATTCTTCTGAAATAAATGTAGTCAAACTTTACTAATTCTGGGTCACTGAGAACGAAAATGATACTTAAAATTGTTGATCGGCTCTAGTTTTCAAGATATGCTATTGGGTCAGTATATACGACCCTTGACTTGCGAATGGCAGAGGATAAGTGAGTTATAAAGGGAAGGGATCTCAATTTAAACCAGAAATGACTAAAATACACCTTTGACTGGATCTATGAATAAATCTATGACTGGGTTTGGACAGTACTTGCTTTTTAGGCAAAACAATGAATGATGCAATCTGAAGCTGGTATTGTGTCATACATGATATGAATTGCATCATGTTATTCCTAGAAGTCATGGATGATGCAATCATAACAAAGCTTACATTGCTTTGCTGAATAAATTGCCCTATATCAGCTCTAGAGATCATACAGTCGTGCTCTCTTATTTGTCAGTGTTTGATTTTTGCAAAGGGACACATTTCTGTTTAGCCAAAGTGAGCAGAGATGCCTCGTACTTGTGTGAACAGTGCAGATAACTTCTATGTTTGTGGTGAAGTGACTTTTGCATCACAAAAGCACAGTATAACCACTATGATTAAGAAAGCTTATCACCTTTATTTTGGCTGCAAAATTGGAGATCAGGACAAGAGGTGGGCCCGCACATATGCTGCAACACTTGTGCAACAAATCTTCGCCAGTGGTTGAACAGGAAAAGGAAATCTATGCCTTTTGCAGTGCCAATGATCATACCAGTAATTGTTACTTCTTCATGGTGCCTCCTGTTGGGAAAGGTGTATCAAAGAAGAAAAAGTGGACTGTGCATTATCCAAACATTCCATCAGCTATACGCCCACTACCCCACGGAAAAAGACTGCTGGTTCCTGATGCACCAGAATAATTCTCACTTGAGTCAGACGAGGAAGAGGATGAAACTTCTGGTCCTGAACCATCACAAGACCCACATTTTCTCCCATCCTCCTCCTCTGAACCACACCTCATAACACAAGGTGTGAACTGAATGACTTTATCAGGGATTTGGAACTACCCAAGAGTAAGGCAGAGCTGTTGGGCTCCAGACTACAGCAGTGGAATCTCCTGGCAGGTGATGTTAGGGTTTCCATGTTCCGTGACCGTCAAAAGGATCTTGTCCCATTCTTCTTCATGGAAGGTGATCTTGTAGCCTGCAACAATATTGATGGTGTGATGGCAGCCCTCAACATTGTTCACGATCCAGATGAGTGGAGACTGTTAATTGATTCATTGAAGACGAGTCTTAAAGCTGTTTTGCCATCAATTCCAGTTGGTCATGCAGTCCATATGAAGGAAACCTATGACAACATGAAACAACTTTTGAGGTGCATAAGCTATGACCAACATCAGTGGCAGCTTTGTGGCGGTTTGAAGGTTGTTGCTCTCTTGCTTGGTCTGCAGACTGGATACACAAAGTACTGCTGTTTTCTCTGCAATGGGATATTCCCACTACATCAAAATAGATTGGCCACTCCAACAGTCATTGGAGCCTAGGAGGAAAGGTGTTCAGCATCCACCACTTGTTGAATCAAGGAAGATTTTGTTACCACCCTTACACATCAAGCTGAGTCTGATGAAGAACTTGTCAAGGCCATGGACAAAACACAAGCAGCTTTCAAGTACCTCCATCGAAAATTTCCAAGGTTAAGTGAAGCTAAGATAAAGGAAGGTGTTTTTGTTGGTTCTCAGATTTGTGAACTTCTTCGAGATGATGCATTTGACCATGCACTGTGTGGCAAGGAAAAGACGGCACGGAAAGCCTTCCAGTTAGTGGCAATACATTTTCTCGGAAACGAGAAGGCAGACAACTACAGGTTGTTGGTGGAAAACCACCTCAAGGCATGCAAAAGCTTTGGTTGCAACATGTCACTAAAGATACATTTTTTTGCGCACTCATCTAGATTTTTTTTTCCACCAAACTACAGAGCAGTGAGTGGCGAGCAATTTCACCAGGACATTGCAACAATGGAGAAACGCTATCAGGGCAAATGGAGCCCATCAATGCTTGCAGACTATTGCTGGACAGTGACAAGAGATGCTCCATTTAATTGCTGATTCTTAAAGTGTTACATAAACAGGACAGGTGAAATATTATCATGTAAAGCAACCATAAACACATGAAAAGACCTAGGTTTACAATTTATGATTAAAACTCTACTATCTACACAATATACATAGATGTAAAATGTAAAAACTTAAATATCTTGGAAACAGTAGCCAATCAGTTGTTTTAATTGTCATATTTGAATTCAGCACATCAAAATACATAATAAATAGCACATTTTATCTCTGACGCAGACAACTTCTAAAAAATTGTAGACCAGTGTAATGAATGGTGACACATCATTGGCCTTTCAAAAAGAGAAGAACATGGCAGGGACAAATGCTTTCTGTCTTTCTCTTCTGTCTACAAACTATGGTAGTGTTAATTAGAACAACAAAGAAAGGATATGTCAATGTTTAGAGCACTGTGCAATGTTTAGAGTACTACATTCGCCCAACTCCTATAGGGATGTAAGTGACTAATTAGTTGACTATCTGATAAGCAAAAGCTTATCAGATAGTCGACACACTAGTCAACTAGCTGCTCCTTCTCCCCGCCTCTCCCCCCCGCTGCTTCTGTCGGAAAGAGCTGGTTCCCCACAGCTGTAGCTCCATGCGGGTGGGAGGGGCAGGAGCATAGCGGTGGCATTCCGCCTTTGAACTGGCCCCAGACTCCATGCAGCATTTCAGTCTTTGAAATGCACAAGAGCCCCTGCTGGCACTTCCGTCTTCGAAATGTAGCAACAGCCAGGTGGGCTCTTGCAACATTTCAAAGCAGAAGCGCCCTTATTGACTAATTGAACAGTCAGTGGAAATTCCATTGACTATTTGATTAGTTAATCTAATTTTAACATCCCTAGATTCGTGTATTAGCGGCATAATAATCTAGTTTGTACCCCATTCTGGGGGTATGAACCAGTAGAGCATCTATTACTCTAGATGAAAATCTATTACTGTTTTTCAGCCTAGATATTTTTTCTTTTTAAGTCTTATAATAAACAATAATTTCCAATTAAAAACTTTTAAGAAATAACTGTCATTAATATAGAGCTGATAAATTGGCAAACTTCACATTGTTGCAAAAAAACTACTTGCCATAATGTTTGTGAATTTAATTTAGTTATGAGAAACTCTTAAATTGAATCTTCTCTGTCCAACTCCCTATCACAAGTATTGTCTTTTTGTGATATAACACCTTATAAGTGTTTCCAAGTGGTATGATATTTTTACAGTGTGATATTGGTATATGTTAGCTTTCTTTCTAAATACCATCAATAATTCAGTTATTTACAAAATGAACTCTCTTATTGGAACTTGATAAAAATATGCCTTT